GAACGTATAACGTTAACATGATCAAACATGCAAAGTCTTTAATTGTTTCTATCACTATATCTGAATTGTAAGCATTGTAACTTAATATTGTTTTACGTCAATATTTGTTTTCAACGTCTTGTTAGAAATTTGAGTTTACCGAAATTATTAAACTATAAACATACTTGTATGACTCAACCTTAAATTAGTAGATTGAAGAGCTTCTTTTTACAAATGTTGCAATAATAAAAGAGTATATAATCTAAACAATATAAAGCAGGGGACATAATAAATCTGTTATTACATCAATATAATTAGATATGAGGGAAACGTTAACGAGACAACATATCTAAATTAAATATCATTAAAACAATATGGAACATGAATGTAATCTGTTATCTGATATCTTATAATTACTTGAGAAAATAAGTATTCTGAATCAAAATGCCCATCCAACAGTTCATAAATTCAGATCTAAAATTTCGAATCGATCTGAGTATGGCACTAATTGCATGTTCGGAAGTGTAAATTTCATAAGCAAAGAATGACAATATTCTACAAATCTTCATAAACACATCAACATTTTGCATAAAAATTAAATCAACAAGGTCACTTGCATGTAAAAAAAAACTCTCTTAATTCATCAAACAGTTGATTCTCCTTTTGTTCATAGAGAGAAATACCGGATATTGTTTAATTGGTTGTTATAACGAATTGTTCTGTCCTAGATTACATCTTACTTAACAGATGTTTGTTTAGTGAAACACATCAGATCAGAACAGCAAGATGGTCTTGGTTCATGATTTAAGCTACATACTAAGACAAAAAGTTGTTTAAGGCAACTTTTGTAAAACTTCCACAGGTGTTTTTCTTTTGTTGTCAATCAAGTTCAATTTTTAAACACCGTTATCCTTGTTCTTTTCTATGCAAATATTTCATGCATTTTCAAGACGAAATAAAAGTTACCAATAAATACCAAAGGTAGGTCCTGTAATAGTGGTTGATTGCGACCGTGATGAAAGGAGGTAGATTTAGACTGTTACTAGATTGATTGATTGATCGTTCGTTGCTTAACGTCTAGTTGAAAATATTTCATGCACGATCATGACGAGAACAAATTAACAATGAATACAATAGGTAGGTCTTGTCATTGAGGCCGTCAGGGGTAAGGTCGGGGAAATTTCGACTAGCAATGGAAAACGGGGGTATATTGGATAGGGACAGACATTTGGCCTTGTAACAGGTCACCTACGGACCCCTCGAAGAATTGTGGCAAGGGTTTTTAAACGTGCAGAGACTGTGGCACACCCTCAACACGAGGCATCGGATTTCAAATCCTCATTCTGCGGGAATATATATACATCGCATAACCAAACGGACGCCACACTTTGGCAAGAGTTTTACTCGGGAAAAGACCAATTGACCAACGAGCTATTACGGTCACCACTAGGGTGTTGCGCTTTATAGCATGAGCAATTAAACAGTAAATTTTAGAGTGTTTTCTCCATGTCGATACATTGGGTATTTTTGTATGCCGCATTTAAATTAAAATATAATTTCAAAATGATATTTAAAAAAATCTTGTTACAAACGTTTGTCAAGTTTAATTCATTTGTAGCCAACAGAATCAACCCGTCAGATATGCCAAATATATTCGGCCAAGAGTTAGAAAACTCAGATTAAACTTTCTCAGATGTTCCATTTGTGGTAGCATTCTTTTAATTTAAACTTGTTTTACGTTCTATTTTACGATCCCCACATTACCTTCTATATCCATCCACTAGTCAATAATCGTCAATAGGTGTCATTCCTTTCCTTTATTATTTTCGCCTTATTTTTTAGATATCTGGACACAAAAAGCATTTGAATTTCAAGAGAAAATTCGGGAGATTTCTAAGAACACTTTAACTATAACAATAGAATACAATCATCACAAACAATGACAGCAGTAACCATTAACATTAATGATCCTGCAGGAAACAGAAATATTCAGTAAATTTTCTCTTCATCAGAATAACAAGTTTCCATTGAAAATTGGTGCTGCAATAAATTGCCTCTTCGGCGCGCCCATAGATGGACTGACTTTAAATGTTAGGACAACACGTTTACCATTAGTATCAACACCACGAACTCATCCAACAAATTGCCGTTTAATGGTTTCTCTGCATAAAAATTTCTAGATATAATCAAACTTTTTTTTAACGTAAACAGTTACATATGGCAGATCATAAAATCAAAAATATTTGTTCTGCAGGATGTATAAGTACGCAGACACGTCCGGTAGGAATAGGGACTTTAAATTGGATGCCTCAAGTAGCTTATGCCAAGCTTTTTGCATATCACAAACCCTTGAAACACCATCATGAGATTCCCTGATGCAAAGTTAAATTGATGCCCCCATCTCCAGCATACGATCTTTTATCAGTGACAAGTCTTCTTTCGTTTACTTTATCCAATATATCCATTGTGCACAACTTGTCTACCAAACTAATTATGTCATTGTCGTTGTAATATGCATGAAATTCTGCGACTGGACGCGCAACAAAAAACATCTCACTAATCTATCCCTTTACACTACAATACTTATTACTAATTACTACATTTCGGAATCCTTTAGAGGGAACTATCTCCATAAAAGAGTAGTCGTGAAATTAGATTTGATTATAGTTTCTTGGTTTAAGCAATAACATGTTTAATTTTGTAAGTCTGTATCAATCATGGCATTGATGAGCTTGACATCTTTAACGTAAGTTGAAATAAATGCCATTGGCAGGTACTCAAGTTAACTACAACACAGGACTTAAGAGTCCTCAAAGAATTCACATTGGAAAATAGGTGATAACGAGATCTTTTCCAAATATATGTATATATATATGGTCATTGATCGCTATGGATAGTAAACGAGCAATTTATAGTTAAAGGTAGGAACAAGTTGTCGACCTTTGATCTTATGACCTTTGTCAAGGTCATTGGTCCCCAGTATCCTTGCTAAAACCGCCATGGATCTAGGAACTTTGGTTTACGAGTTAAAGCTAATTTTGTCTTTTCAGAAACCGTTAACGGAGGTTTTGCCCCTTACGGATAGGTCAAACTTCTTTGGTCAAATGTTACAAGGTTGTGCCTTGATAACCCAACAATTTTTCACTATTGACGATTCCTGTACGTATAAGGAATTCTGAGATATCCAAAACCAAGAAGTAAGGTCAAAGGTCAAGGTCAACGTAAAAAAAGCTTTGAAACACACTTAAAATCCTTTGAATAAGGTCAAAACACATAAATCGCTATCTATGAGATGACCTTGTGACCTTTGTCAAGGTCATTGGTGTCCACAATATCATTTCTCCAGACCCCATGGGTCTAGTACCTTTTGTTTAGTAGTTAAAGCTAATTTTGTCTTTTCAGAAACTGTTTACGGGGGTTTTGCCCCTTACAGAAAGGTCAAATCTCTTCGGTCAAATGTAACAAATGTGTGCCTTAATGACTTTAACATTTTAAAACTCTATTCACTATTCAAGATTTCTGTAAGTGCAATGGTTTCTGAGATTATCCCATAACAAGGGGTAAGATCAAAGGTCATGGTCAACTTTAACATTTGACCTTGAAGCATTTTCAAGGTCACATGAATTGACGATCATTGGTGAAAATCCTAGGTGTCTACGACTTGCGGTTTCTGAGTTTAAGTGGCCAACAGACATTGGTGAATTTTCAAAGGGGCATAACCCTACTAATAAGTCTTCGAATCTTTTCGATCAAAATGTAACGAAGAACAAATTTCACCCTTCGGTTTTTGTCTACCTATAAGGTTACAAGAGCGCAATTATTTGTAATGCATTTTCCATAGGACCCCAGTGGTATTCAGAAATTTTTTTCTTGAAGAATAAACAAACTAGATAAAAATGGGTAGCAGTTCCTGTGACTATAGATGTCAGCCTTTTATTACAGCAAGTATATGATCATGCGGCAAAAAGTGCCCTAAAATGCAATTGTTATGGAAGCTTCCAAATTCTGCACTAAATTGGAAAGGTTAATTTTGAATGGCTCCTCGGTTAATTAAAAAATTATATCTTCTACACATTGTGAATTATGAATTCAATTTTCACCTATTTTCAAACCTAAATGGATAAGCTTTCAAATAAAAAATAATTCCAACCTGCATCATCCAATCAGGAGCCTCAAAGTTTTTTATTCTGAGTACCATCTAGGGGTAAACATTTTGCCGGTTGAATGTAAACAAATAATGTGTTTGAATGATAACAAGGTTTTTAGGTTTCGGGCAGATAACTCCGGTCCGACAAAATTTTACGACTCACAGGGTGAGTTCCAGATAGGTATTTGTTACACAATAGAAAGTACGAACCTGAAAGCGACATGTCTTACGGTTAAGGCTGCTAACTTCGTCAAAGTTTGGCGGAAAAAGAATAATAATAATCAGAAGAAATACAGTAAGGTCTTTCCCGTTTGGAAAAGGAAAGACCTTAATTAAAGAAAAATAAAAATATAAAATATAGGGAAAGGGATAAAATATCTTGTCCGAAGTTTTTTTAAAACTTTTCCCAGATCTTGTTAAAATTTAAAGTTAAGTACCAATGTATATTGTATACCGATTTCAAGTTGCTCAATCCTTATTTTTCTGTGTAGTACATGTATCTTGTAGGGTTTACAACTTTTTTTAATATGACCCTAAGTGTGAAACAACTACAGGGGGAATCGACTATGCCTCTATCAGTATTTTTAACTAAGGTCTCTGAATGAGGGAACGCGGTTTAAAACAGTCCAACGTATTTTTTATGCCTTGACAAAACCTTTAGCGTAACAAGATACATCCAAAATAATGAGAGATACTTTTGACATTAGCCGTGATTAGATTCGTGTGTGAAGTGTACATACATGTATCAAATTGCATGTATAGAATTGAATATCACACTTTGGCAGTTTTTTTTGTTGGCAAACGTTCATTATGGCACCACGCAATCCGTAAATTTAAAAGAATATAATACGGCATTTGGTTCATGATTACCAAACACCTTTGAACTGCCTAATTCAAAACAACAGCTATGAATTGTATGTGGAGTTTTATCCTCGTCTGTAATTTTGTGATGCATTTCGAGGCGGAGGCAGAAGGATCATGTTCTGCAGTTGGTAATACTACTTTTTTCGTTTAAATATTTATTTCGGAATATTAATAAGTATGTGTAAAAATATTCATTCTTTTAATAGTTTGACAATTAATTATTTCAAATAAAGCAATGAACAGTAGAAACAAAAGAAAAAAAGAAAAAAGAAAAAAAAAACATAAAATACGAAATACACAACGAAACAACCAAATACAAAAGAGGCAGAAGATACAAATAGGACTTTCAAAACTCATAAGTCGAAGAGAAGCTGACAACGCCATGCGAAAAAAAAACCAACTGAGATACAAACACGTCAACAATACTACACTATGTACATAGAAAACAAAAGACTAAGCAAAATGAATCCAAACAACAACAAAAAACCGGTCGTAATCTATGGTGATCCGAAAGGGTAAGCAAATAACCGTCCTAATTCGGCACTCAGTGTGTTGCTCATATGTATTTATATGATTCATCTTTTCAGAAAAGAAGATCTTTGATAACCTTTGGAATACGTTAGTTGCTTTAAAATCCGGTTCCACCAATCATGGTAATATATATTATTAATTTGTTTAATTTAAAAAAAGATGCATTATAGACAGCATGCATCAGATTATTAATTAAGATTTACACTTTTACTCGAAGACATTGAAGAAAAATGATGTATGACTGTTAAACGTACAGTGGCAAATTGCATCTATATTCTGGACTAGAACATAGTAATGTGTAATTAATATAAACCCTGCTTTGTACAAAGCTAACATGTCGAGTCGCGCTAGTCCACAAGGAAACACAATATTCTGGAAAGAAAAAAACAGTGTGTTACAATTTGTTTTGTAACTACCATAATTACAACAATATCAATAAAAAAATGTTGTATATTTTGAATGTTGGTTTGTTTAAGTTCCAATCCCCCCCCCCCCCCCCCAAAAAAAAAAAAAAAAAAAAAAACACAATTTTCTGGATCCGCCGCTTACAATTTAAAGATAACATTAAAGGGTGTTACCCGTTTTTCTAAATAATTTCGAGTCGTATCACTTTATTGTATTACATTTGCTCTCTCACTCATCCTTTTTATGTTTGCCTACAATTCATATATAGCTTATTCCATTTATATGTGAATATTACAGGTGATAGCAATGGAAAGAATAGACCTGCCTTTACAGCAGCACTATCTCCAAATCCTTTAACGCTAAGTGGGAAAAGTGCCATAGCTAAGTTCGATACAGTAATTCTGAACAGAGGCGGAGGTTATGATCCTAAAACCGGAAAATTTACAGTTCCAAAGTCTGGCATCTACCAGTTTTCGTTCACAGTATTTTCAACCAATGGTAACTCATTGAATATGGCTATTGTCGTCAATGGAAAACCGATTATTTATGTTTATGGGGCAAAAATCTATGGTGCGACTGGAACTGCAAGTCCAGTTTTGGAGCTAAAGGAAGGCGACGTCGTTTATTTGAAGCACCAAAGTTCATCAACAGAGCATATGGGTGGTTATAAGTATTCTTTTATTTCTGGATATTTCATAGGCGAATGAGAAAGCTATTTCAGGGCATGATAGCATAAAATAAATATTAATTTGCATGTTTTGTTATAATTTTAAGCTTACAATTTTGCTTAGTTAACCTTGGATGTATTTATCTAATCTTTTTATGTCCTTTTTGGTCATATAGCTGCTGATATTTTAAGGTACTCAATAAGACTCGTACTTCCTTGGCTTTGAGTATTTCTGATGAAGAAAAATCCAAAAAAATCGCTTTGTGTATATGTATCATACGGGTATTTTGATACAACAACTGTCACAAGTCATGAACGTTGTCAATGGTTACGCCTTCGTTGTTGACTTCAAATCTATGTAGTCTACTAAATCATTCCACACATTGTGCATATTCGGTATGTTTTGCAGGTTTTGTTCGACGTTTGTCTAAAACGCATATAGTTTACCCTTCCGATAATCTTTTCTCATTTTCGTAAACCCTATCGTCTTTTTATTCATATATAGTGGTCAACATGCACTTTTTATTCTGTTCTCAATATACCGACTAACATGTTGAAAAATAATAAATCAACACTAGGGATAGGTTAACATCTTTCAGCAATTTGAAACATAATTTTAATGAAACTCGGTAAAGCTATTACAGCCTTCAACAGTTAGTTCTACTGGCTTGATATACCAGCTAATTCATTTAAAAGTGAGGTGGAAGATATCAAAGGGATATTCAAACTTATAAATCGATGACAATTTGACGCCAAGGCGAAAAAAACGTACAAAAGACAAAAAAAAAAAAAAAAAAAATCAAACAAACCAGTAGACAATAAAGAAGATGAAAAAAAACTTTAGACTGAGCAACGCGAACCCCACAAAAACCGTTTGTGATCTCAGATGCTCGTCATCCGTGAAATGGCCGCCCTAAATGTGCATGATATTTTTGCCACTGAACAGTGAGCAATCATACATCTATCTTCTTATTGTCTGATGATTTTAAACACTCTCAAACACTACCAATTTCAAGTATCCGGAGACTTAATGGCACCTCTTATAGTGTTGTTTCTTATTCATTGACAGATTTCATCCAACTGCAGGTAATGGAAATAAAAACTGGTTTAACACTACCACAGTATGTGCCAGTATCAAGTATTTTTTTTTTGCTAGGGAACCTAAGAAAAAGTCCGGAGGGCAAACTGAAAAAAAGTCATTAAATCATCAAATATATTTGAAGAGATTCAGTAACTGATTTTAATATGAACATTTCACTCATTATGAATTTTTATTCAAATTATAAAAAAAGGTATGAAGCTCCGTGATTTTTTTTAATTCCTTGATTCTTTTTTAAAATAAATAATATAAAAAACTTATTCATTTTAATAATACTTGGTAGCGAGGACAACTTTTTAAAAGGTCTTGGTTTATTTCAAGTTTCAATTAAAATTCTAACATATTTTGTATTTTAAATTTGTATTTCAATCATAATTAGCCATCGTTACTACTATAGTGTAATGAACTGGCTGTTTCTGTATTGGCCATGTTATAGATTCTCGATCAGCTGATTTGGCCCTCGACTCGAAAAAGAGTCGAGGGCCAATACAGCTGATCGAGAATCTATAACAGGGCCAATACAGAAACAACCAGTTCATAACACTTTTATTAAATGATTTCAATTCTTCAATTAAACTAAGCAACTTACCTTAAAGTAGAAGAAGATACAGAAATTCATATATGAACTTGTCTTTTCGCAATTTCACGATGGATTTTTTGTCAACATTGTCAGATGTAATTTCTGATTTTTGAATTTCAGACAGTTTAACTATTCTTGCTCTAGAATCGTCTGCGTTCTGATGATTGATCAACGGAAATGAAACAGTAAAAATAATCTGAAGTCGTACTCGAAAGGCTGAGAAACATTTCCGTTTCAAAACGTTACAAAACACTGAACATCATTTAAACTTTTTTTTATATATTAAGTTCAAATATATGAATACAAATGTATTTTATGCATAACGATACGTCTAAAGTTAACTGTTAAGTAAGGTTAGGCGTAAGAAAATTGAAACCGGAAGTGAACGTCCCGTATTAGCCCATGTGCTTATACGGCGGCCTTTTTTCCGTATAGGCCCCGTATTGACCCTGTCCGAAAAACAATATTAACTCCAGATTTATATCGACAGGACAACGTCACCAGTATTGCACATGCTGATTTATCTGTATTAGGGCTGATTTGCTCATATCATATAATAAATGGTTATATTTACCATAAAAGTGCACGTCATACAATTTTGTAGCATGGGCAATTGGTTTCATTGCAAACTTCACTTGCTAAGTTGAATGATCTTATTGTGAAGATAATTTCGTTGTCTTCTTTCTAAATGAAAACATAAATGGTGGTTGCATAATTGTTCAAGATAAGTCACACGAAGACAAGTGCTGATGTCAGATAATAATCAAAGACTGTGTAACCATTAAACAGGATTATACTTGACGTTATACAATATTCTTTAAATCGATTGTGTACATCTTAGCTGCTTCATAGTAAAATAAGGAGAAATGGTATGCTTCATAATGAGACAACTGTCCAACTAAGAGTGCAAATGATGTGGATATAAGCAATTATAGGTCACAGTTATATTGCATTCACTTGTCCGTCTGTCTTTTTCGTCTAACTTTTCTCAGAAACTACTGAACAAAATGACGTCATATTTGATCAGAATCTTGATGAGTTCTTTCGTGTTAGCACTTTACAAAACTGGCAGATACCTACTGCGTATATGCCAATTCTTTGAGTTTTTTCAATGTGTTGAATGAACTCAAAGTTTTCGTCCTACATTTCTCAAATACAAAATGTACTGGTGAACATAATGTTTTTGTATTTTACCAGCAGCTTATCAGGGATTAGTTGTAATGTGTGTGCGGAATCCGTCACACACCAACTTCTTGTTTTCCGATACTTTAAATCACGATCAGGGATGTGCATTCTTTTAATGATTACGGTTATCATTCAATAATGATTTACAAAAAAACAAAGGATAGACATTTAAATGATTTCGAGTACATTGTCTAAATCGTTATAACACATACCTAAATGATTTAAAGATTAACGCAGTCAAAATAATTAAGAAACCGCACCTGTTTATGAGTGCTTTTCTTATGCGATGACCCCTAAGCGCTCGATGCTATTCATTCCAATACTTAATTCGTCGACCTTGGATTTTTTTTCAAAAGTAAATATTATGTATTCATGGATTTGTGCGACAATCTAAGTCAATGACATCCTTTGTCGCCTTGTGGTATTAAATTCATAATAGCAAGTTTTTTTGCATAATGAGGCTTACAATTTGAATACAAGATCAACTTTTTCAATGTTTGCCTGCTTCGCAAATAATAAATTTGTATTTCAAAGAATTGATCTGTTATAAAAAAAACTTCTTTGTTTCTTTATTAGACTTGCTAAATAAAACTAATGTCAACATATATCTTCTCGCACCTGTAAGATTTTGCTATGAACATTGTTCAAATTTGTATCCAATTTTGAAATATCTGTTAGTAGCAAGATAAAACCATATACAAAACCAAACATCTAATTCAAGCATCGCGGAGAGCTATGTTCCGAGAATTTGTATGCAATAGACTATTTTCATATTACCGACTTTTGACTCTGAAGTTTATATTTTTTGTACAGGTTACCTACTCTATTGGTAGGACATCCTGGTACCAAGTCAAGTAAGAGCAACGTAAAGAAGTAAAATCAAGCTTTCAATCGGTACAATTTTTGGGGGAAATTTACTGCTCTATATTTACTTTACGCGTCAAAATTATCGGTAAACAGTAAACTTTCCCCTCAAATTTCAACGATTATATGCTTGATTTTACTTATTTTGGTTGCTCTTACTTCACCGAGTACCAGGATGCTTACCACAGCAAAATGTAACCTGTCGAAAAATTATATAATCCGGAGTCAAAAGTCGGTAATATGAAAAAAAATCTATTCAATTATGAACCAATTACGTTCCGCTAAAATGAAATTGTACAAGTTCAGGAAACTACTGTTGTTGCTTTTATTTTATGGTTACAAAAAACCCTGCAATGGGGTCCGTTTTGGTTTGCGTAATGTATAGACACTCAGTCACGTCGGTTTCAAATGGGTACAACGTACGTTCAAACCAATACCGTATAGCGAAAATGTAACACTCGATCAAAGTGATATTGTTTGTTGTTTGCTTAAAGTTCAGTGGAAAATTTTCATGAGAACGTCTCGGTATACGTATGATTTACTTCTTTTTAGATCGAGCTTTAGTTCAATTTTCTAACATTCTATTGATTTTATTAGAAGTATATTTGGTAAACGCGAAATAATTATATAAAAACAAAAGTGATTTCGTTAAATTTGATGAAGCTTTATACTTTATTCTCATACTATAATGCAATTGATGCAACAATTACGTTTAAAAAAAGACCATTGAAGCTGAAATGAACCAGTACCGTAAAAAACAAAACGGCATCAAATTAACTCAGGTATGTATACAAACTGTTTGACTCGACAGAAAACTTAAGTATAGGAAACACGAATACCTACAACAATGTTTTTTTTCGAACCAACAGGGCGAGTAGCAAGGACATGGTATAATAATTATGTCTTCCATATTTGTCTGTATCGATGAACGACTATTCTTCCGAAGAAAATATAGTTGGGTACAGTTCAAACCTT